AATGCAGGAGCTGCCCCCTGGTGGTCAGTGCACTCCCACATCTGCTCAGCCACAAGCCAGGCTGATGGCTGTCAGTACAGCGGTGATGGTAGGAGCCTCTCCCACCTCCACAGTAGCACTAAGTATGTCTGACTGCGCTCAGGCCTGCTCCCCACTGGCAAGTGAACATCCCCCGAGGGCTCCCGGGCTTCCAGAGGGATGTCTGACTGCCAGCTTAGGCCCAATACCCCTGGGGAGCGGGCCTAAGCCAGCAGGTGGTCATTCCCTGAGGGGTCCCAGACTGTGAAAGGGTACAGGCCGAGCTGAGGGACCCCCCCAAGTGCACAAATTTTTGTGCACCGGGCCTCTAGTCCTATCTAATAATAGACAAAGATGCAAATTGACTGTACCTTTGCTATGTCCACCATTGGCTAATCAGAGCAATATGCAAATTAACTGCCAACGAAGATGGTGGCTAATTTGCCTATACCGGCTGGGAGCTAAGACTGAAGACACGTAGAAGGAAGCCAAGCAATGGAGCCAAGGTAGCAGAGAAGGGCGTGAGAGAAGCTGCAGAGACTGGCGGGGTAGGAGGGGCAGATATGGGCGGGGTAGGAGGGGCAGATATGGGCAGGGTAGGAGGGGCAGAGACGGGCGGGTTAGGAATGGCAGAGATGGGAGTGAAGCCCTATTCTTGCAGGAATCTTCCTTTAGTTTTATGATAAAAAAGTAATAAATCCTAAACCTCTATGTACCTAATAACAGAACTCCAAAAATACATAAAACATAAACTAAGAAATTTAAAAAGGGAAAGATAGTAAAAGAATCAGTAATATATAATGAGATTGGTATCAGTTTTGTATTGATTTGTTCTGTTTTATAATCAGCAGCAAAGGGTGTAAAAGAGATAAAAGAATAGTATTTTCAAAGTATTAAAGAATAAAGAACATTGAACTGGAACTTTATATCCAGTCAAACTGTAAGATAAAAATGATGTATAATAAAAATATTTTCTAATCCACACACTGCTCAGAAATTTTGCCACATAAAGACAAACATTGAAAACTATCCTATATAATAAAAGCCTAGTGACTAAAACAGCGAATGACCAGAGACCAGAACAACCATGGCCCCTCGCTCCAGCCGGCCCCACCCCTCAGCCTGGACCCTCACCCTGATCCAGGGCCCCCATCAGGGCAGGCTGGCCAGCCCCCACCCATACACCAGGCCTCTATCCTATATAATAAAAGGGTAATCTGCAAATTGACTCTAATGGCAGAATGACCAGAACAACCGCTCGACTGCTCACTATGAGGTGCGCTGACCACCTCCTGGTCCCTTTCCCTGGCTGGCAGGCTCCATCTCCCCAATGGTGAACAGGGAACTGGGGGTGGGTGGTCGGGGACACAGGTGGTGCCAGGCCAAGGCCCCCACCCCACCAGTCGCTCCACACACAGAGAGCAACCCACAGCAGGGGTGTGGCCGGCAAGTGGGCAGGATCGGCCAACCTCTTGATCCCTTCCCCCAGCCGTCGGGCTCTGATTACCTGATGGTGAACAGAGAACTGGGGGTGGGTGGCAGCAGGGGGTGGGGCCAGCTTCAAGCAGCCTGGGAAGATGGCTCTGATCACAGGCCTAGGGACTGTACCCGCATATGAATTTCATGCACTGGGCCTCTAGTTACTAAATAAGAGGAGCAAAAATTTAAAAGATGCTCTAAGAGGTGTACAAAGTGAAAGTGATCAAACCAAAATTGATATAGTTTTTATTACCTATAAAACTACCTAATATTAAATAAAAAGAGAAAAACATACCTATAATAATAGGAAGTTAAATTCTGCATAGACTATTAACATCATAGATGTTAGGGGCAGGGTAAATCAAGGAATATGGGAGCATGTAAGTTCTTGTCTTTATTAAAGGAAAGATATAGATATAAAATTTTTAAAAGTAAGAAAGTATTAAAAAGAAACATAAAAGTGAGAAAAACTGAAATAAGAAATTAAGATGGTATAAACAGTACAAATATATTTATAGTTGCAATAAATATGAACTAAATCCACCTACTAAATACCAAGATTTACCTATTAGAATTAGACACATCTAAGCATAAAGACATGTGAAAGTTAAAATTTAAAGGATGGGGGAAATCTTAACAGTCTAATACTTACCAGAAAAAGTTGTATAGTTATATTAATATCTGACAACATAGTCTTTTAATTTTATTTTTTTAATCCTCACCCAAGAACATATTTATTTTTAAATTGATTTCAGAGAGAGGAAGGGAGAGGGAGAGAGAGAGAAAAAAATCAGTAATGAGAGAGATTCATTGATTGACTGCCTCCTGCATGTCCCCTATGTGGGACTGAGCCCACAATCTGGGCATGTGACCTGACTGGGAATCAAACCATGGTTCATGGGTCAGTGCTCAACCACTGAGCCACACAGGCTGGCAGACAACATAGTCTTAAAAATCAAAGGCATTATTAGGAATGGAAAGATCCTACATCATGATAAAAGATTAAATTTACCAAGAAGATATACTAATTTACTATTCCTTTTTTTCTAGAATGTTACTTTTTAATGTATTTTTAATGATTTGCTTTTTTTTTTTAAATACGTTTTTATTGATGTAAGAGAGGAAGGGAGAGGGAGAGAGAGATAGAAACATCAATGATAAGAGAGAATCATTGATCAGCTGCCTCCTGCAGCCCCCTAGTGGGGATCAAGTCCACAACCCCAGCATATACCCTGATCAGGTATCAAACTGTGATCTCCTGGTCTATAGGTCCAGGCTCAACCACTGAGCCATGCCAGCTGGGAGAGATATACCAATTTTAAACAAATATGTACCCAATAAAATATCTGCAAAATATATAAAGCAAAAATTTGGAAAACATTTAAAAAGGAATACATGAAGACATTATAAATCCACTATTATAGTGGGAGATTTCTGACTTATTCCTTTAAATTATTGAGATGCCAGGAAAGGCTAGACCTAATGTTATATATAATGTGTGTGTAGACATCCATATATATATGAGAGAGCGTCAGAGACAGAGACAGAGAGAGGAGAGAGATTTGCATCTCAAAATAGGAGAATACACATTTGTACACATACCAGACACTTACAAAACTTGATTAGGTACCATAACATAAAGAAAGCCTCAACAAATTTCAAGAAATAAGATTGTTATATACAATAAAGGGGGGAGATATGTTATAAAATGCTCCTCAAACTCATGATTCCTGCTTCTCTCCCCCACTTTCTTTTCTTCACAGAATGACTATTGACATACACATGGACTTTCCTTTTTAAAGAATTTATATTAACCCTCTAAACATTCATTCTTGCTTGTTTTGAGGCTTCTTTCTAAATTCAATGGCATTTGCTCTACAGGCTTTGGAAGCTTGCAAAGATGCTGGCTTGGTGAAATCTCTTGGTGTATCCAATTTTAACCGCAGGCAGCTGGAACTAATACTAAACAAACCAGGACTCAAATATAAGCCAGTCTCCAACCAGGTACAGTCTAACAAGAGGGTGGGATGTGGCAAAGGATTCCAATAGTTACTTAACATGAAGAACCCTGGGTTAGGTGTCAGAAAGTTTCGTGGTCACTCTATGTAAGACCTTGGATAAGTCTTTTAACTTCTTTCAAGGTATGTTTCTTTTAAAATATATTTTTATTGATTTCAGAGAGGAAGGGGGAGAGAGAGAGAGAGGGAGAGAGAGAGAGGGAGAGGGAGAGAGAGAGAGAGAGAGAGAGAGAGAGAAACATCAATGATGAGAGAGACTCATTGATCAGCTGCCTCCTGCAAGCCCCACACTGGGGATTAAACCTGCATCCTGGGCATGTGCCCTGACCGGGAATCAAACTGTGACCTCCTGATTCATAGGTTGATGTTCAACCACTCCAGCCAGGCTAAAAAAAAGTTTGGAAAGATTAAATCAAAACAAAAATAACCCCCCAAAAATTTCGAAGAAAAATTATGAGAGGAATAAGACTTGCCAGATATTAAGACATATAGAGTATTTACAATAATGTAAGATTAGTGCAAGAACCAATAATACATATAATTAGAAAATAATAATCAGGCCCAAGTATAATAAAAACTTGATGTAAAATAAAGTAGCACAAACTAATGGTCAAAGGATGGATTTTTTAGTAAATGATGTGGGGGAAATGACTAGTTATATGGAAACAATATAGCTCTTTGCCTCATGTCATACTCCAAAAGGAATGTCCCTATGGTCTTGAGTTAAAGAGAAAAAGGAAGTCATTGTAAGACTACACAAGAATTTCAGTTTTCTGAAGCTATGGACAGAAATGGAAGCCATGAACAATTTATACAGAAAATGTTAAATTTATTAGTATAAAAAAGTTAAATTTGAAAATATCAGAAGCAAAGAGCAAGAAAATATACATAATTATATTTTTAAATATAATAGAAAAAGTTTACATGCTTGTATATTAAAAGTCTAATAAAAATGAGAGATTAAAAATGGCGGCAGAGGGAAGTATCTTTGAGCTTGCTTGAACACTATAAGCAAAGCTCACCCTCCCAAGTTAAAAAAATTAGTTATCAAGACAAGAAGTTATCATTGAAATTAAATGGTGGCAGACATGGCCAAGGAATGTTGTGGGGATTTGATCCCTTTATGAATCTTGTGATAGATGAATGTGTGAAGATGGCAACTGGTGCGCAACAGAACAATATTGGAATAGTGGTTAATACAAGGAAATAGTATCATCATGTTAGAAGCCTTGGGACAAGTATAAAGAATGGATGTAGTTACCAGAGAAATCAACTGCTTCCACGTGTCCCCTCTCCACAGCACCTGTTTTACTACAATATAAAAGTAGAGTCCTGTCCATTTTCACATTGAACTTTTATTAAGTAAACTTTTGTACTGACTTAGAAAAAATAGTGGTAGAGTAAGTAAAAGGTGCACTGACACTCTCCCAGGACCAAACTGGAAATACAACTAAAATACAGAAAAACCACCCTGAAAAATCAACTGAAGACAAGCAGGAGAAAACCCTGATAACCAAGGACCAAAAGCGGAGACCTCATGGAGACTGGTAGGAAGTGCGGAGGTGCAAAAGGGCTAGCTAGGTTCCCACAGACAATAGCTGAAGGTCTGAAGAGCTATCTCAACTGTGGGGAGTTCCCACTGAGAACTCTGGGATCTAAACACTAAGCTGGGACCCCCAGCCCAGAGAATGGGAACTGAGAAAGGTGCCCACAAAACATCTGGCTATGAAAAGCAGCAGGGCTCCTATCTGCCTGCCAGAGATGGCTGGAAATGCAGGCAACATCTTAAAGAGCCAAAAAATCTTGAAGAGCATACCAGCGCATTTCCCTTACCCCTCTTCTTCCCTCTCAGGCATGCATCTCCTAAACTCTAAGGCACCCCATGATACTTGCAATCAGGGGAGCAATGGCTAGAGGCAGCTCAACCTGGGCTAACTCCCTGAAACTGTTTCCAAAGCCCCCTTTTCTCTAATTTGTCTCATTGACAACTCCCAACCACTCACCTGCCTGATCGACATCTAACTGCTCCCTGCCGGCCTGATTGCCCCCAACTACTCTCCCCTGCCAGCCCGATCACCCCCAACTGCCTTCCCCTGCAGGCCCGGTCGCCCCCAGCTGCCCTCCCTTTCAGGACTGGTCCCTCCCAACTGTCCTCCCCTGCTGGCCTGATCACCCACAACTGCCCTCCCCTGCTGGCCATCTTGTGATGGCCATCTTGTGTCCACATGGGTGTGGCCATCTTGTGTGTTGGAGTGATGGTCAATTTGCATATTACTCTTTTATTAGATAGGATGTTTGATCGTGAGAGACAGAGGGCTTCTGTGAATGTCACTTGTACTTACTAAGACTGTAATCTGAACATTGAGACTGTTTATTATGGAAATTGTATTTTCTAGGATGTTTATTATAAATAACTGATTCTGTTCACTTCAAGTTTGAAACTATGATAGGTACACAAAATTGAATTTGTTTCTCAATTATTTTAGAATTAACCCACAGATGGTGCCCTCACTAATCTTATTGTAATTAACCTCACTAGTATTTAAACAGTGTTAAGTTTCTTTGTTAGGAAAAATATTTAGAATTTGTCTCATTATCCATAATGCTTTTAAATGAATTTTATTTCAGGATTTTTTTAAAAACTATGTAAAATTGCATTCATCTACAAGGCCTTAATTTTGTGCTCTGCTCTCCAATTCAACCACATAGGTGGAATGCCATCCATATTTCACCCAGAGAAAACTCCTGGAATTTTGCCAACAGCATGACATTGTCATTGTTGCATATAGCCCTCTCTCTCTATAAGACACATCAAAACATATTTACTTTCTCAAAAAGGCAGCAATATAAATTTGCCTCTCTTGATCTTCCCACACAAAGAACAACTCTTCATTGACGACTCGGCAATCACAGAAATTGCTTACAGGTGACCTGAAATGTCGTGGAAGGTTACCAGGTGAATGGGAAGACAGGAGGAGGATTGATTAACCACTGCTTCTCACTGATCTAGCTAAATATCATGCATGTTTTTATTTTTTTAAGGGTGAATGTATCTATCCCACCTTTGTTAAAGGATGAACTTCTAAACTCATTGGGGAAAAAGTACAATAAGACTGCAGCTCAGGTTGCTTTGCGTTTCACTATCCAGCGAAGGATAGTTGTCATTCCTAAAAGCTTTAACCCTAAAAGGATCAAAGAAAACTTTCAGGTAAGAGAACTGCTTCTGAAAAATGTAAAAAGTAGGATATTTTTTATTTAACGAATTTTCTGTTCAGATTAGTAAGAAACTTGTAATACCTTCACATTTTATTTTATACCAGCTCCCTGACCCACTCTGCCCATATTGGCGTTTAATTTTAGCCAAATTTGAGACTATTGCTAGCACTTTGGGGGTTACTTTGCTGATTGTATTATACACGTACTTCAGAAATACAGTATTGTAGGTACTATTCCAGACCACCACGATAAAGCATGAATTGCAATAAAGTCACACGAATGCTTTGCTTTCCCAGAACATATAAAATTTTTGTTTACATTATACTGCAGTCTATTAAGTGTGCAGTAGCATTATGTCTAAAAAGTGTACATACTTTAATATAAAAATACTTTATTGCTAAAAAGTGCTAACTATCATTGGCGCTTTCAGCGAGTCGCAATCTTTTTGTTGGTGGAGGACCTTGCCTCAATGTTGATGGGCTACTGGTGGTTGCTGAAGGGTGGGGTGGCTGTGGCAATTTCTTAACATAAGAAAACAATGATATTTGCCATAATGGTTAACTCTTCCTTTCAAAAACAATATCTCTGTCACATGTGATGTTGTTTGATAGCCTCTTACCATAGACCTTCTTTCAAATTGGAGTTAATCCTCTCAGGCCCTGCTTTATGAACTAACTTTATGTAATAGTTTAAATCCTTTGTTGCCATTTCAACAATATCGACAGCATATTCACCAGGAATAAGTTTCCTCTCAAGAAACCACTTTCTTTGCTCACCCATAAAAAGCAACTCCTGCCGTAACTGGTTTGGCTCAGTGGATAGAGCGTCGGCCTGCAGACTTAAGGGTCCCAGGTTTGATTCCAGTCAAGGGCATGTACCTGGGTTGTGGGCACATCCCCAGTAGGAGGTGTGCAGGAGGCAGCCGATCGATGTTTCTCTCTCATCGATGTTTCTAACTCTCTATCTCTCTCCCTTCCTCTCTGCAAAAAAATCAATAAAATATATTTAAAATTAAAAAAAAGCAACTCCTCGTTCATTCAAGTTTTGTCATAAGATTGCAGCAATTCAGTCACATCTTCAGGGTCCACTTCTGAATCTAGTTCTCTTGCTATTTCCACCACATTTGTGATTGCTTCCTCCACTGAAGTCTTGAACCCCTCAAAGTTATCAGTGAGGGTTGGAATCAACTTCTTCCAAACTCCTGTTAATGCTGATATTTCAACCTCTTCTCATGAATCAGGACTGTTCTTAATGGCATCTAGAATGGTGAATCCTTCCAGAAGTTTTTCTATTTACTTTGCTCAGATCCCTTAGAAGAATCCCTTCTGATGGCAGCTATTGCCTTATAAGATATATTTATTTTTTAAAATGTATTTTTATTGGTTTCAGAGAGGAAAGGAGAGGGAGAGAGAGAAACATCAATGATGAGAGGGAATCATTGATAAGCTGTCTCCTGCATGCTCCACACTGGGGATCAAGCCAGCAATCTTGACATGTGCCCTAACCGAAATCAAACCTGGGACCCTTCAGTCTGCAAGCTGATGCTCTACCCACTGAGCAAAACCAGCTAGGGCTGAAATATATTTCTTAAATAATAAGATTTGAAAGTCAAAATTACTCCTGGACCCATAAGCTGCAGAATGGATGTTGTGTTAGCAGGCCTGAAAACATTAATGTCACTGTACATCTCCATCAGAGTTCTTGAGTGACTGGGTACATTGTCATATTTTGAAATAAATTTATTGTTTTTCTGAACAGGTGTCAACAGTGGGCTCAAGAGAGGAAAGAATGCTAGACAGTTAGTTATATCAATTGCTGACAGTATTTTAACACTTAACAAAAATACCTCATAGTAAAAAGTCTTTGACACTGTTTCAGCCATCTAACGAGAAAAAGAGAGTCACTAAATGACTAATGTGTAGACTCATCAAAAAATTTTTTTAAAAACAACAGCAAATTTTGAAGTACCTAAAACAAATGTGTGCATGTATTCAAAATTTTACTGTTCAGGCTGGCCAGTATTGCTTAGTGGTTGAGCGTTGACCTATGAACCAGGATGTCATGGCTCAATTCCTGGTCAGGGCACATGCCTGGGGTTGTGGGCTTGATCCCCAGTAGGGGGTGTGCAGGAGGCAGCCAATCAATGATTCTCTCTCATCATTGATCTTTCTGTCTCTGTCACCATTCCTCTCTGAAATCAATAAAAATATATATTTTTAATGATAAGAGAAATGATTGAGGACAAACCAAAGCAAATTAAAAGTTTTTTAAAAGTACAAAAGCAAATTTAGACACAAGGGTTTATTTTTTAAGTGTACACAGGATCTAGTCCAGAATCGAAAGTTTAGCATCTTGTCCAGAAATAATAAGAATTCTTCAATCTTGGAATTTCAAATGTCCTGAACATACATTATTTTGAAGCATTTGGAATTTCTTGCAAGATATCCCCAGCAGAATTGTTTTAAGACAAAGTGTAAAAGAGAATTCCTGCTCCACTTCCATTAGGTGGACCCCCAGTGCTAATCCAACTCCTCTTAAGACATTTGCAGAGATGTTCATAAACCTTTGAAGGATTCCAACTGCTGTCCACACTCCCCAATCCCAAGCTTGGTCCATTTTCTATCATTACAAATGTCTATCTTTTATTTCTGTTATTTCAGATCTTTGACTTTTCTCTCACTGAAGAAGAAATGAAGAGCATCGAAGCCTTGAATAAAGATGTCCGCTTAGTGGATCTGCTCTTGTGAGTTCTGGGGGGTCCTTAACCAGGTACCACCCAGTGGTGTTAGATTGTCAAGTGTCACCAAGAGGGCTCTTATGAACCTGGACCTATATTCACAGAAAGCACAAGGCTAAAGGCCACTGGGCAGTATATTCTGAATAGTAAATCAATCTGGGTAAATTACATTCATTCTAAGAACTCCCTGTAAATCTACATTTTTTATTTAAAAGAAGATTTCTGGCATTTATATCACATCTCATGACAGGTTAAGGCATGGCAGGCTAAAGACCATAAGAATATTTAGTCATAGCATACAAATAGTATGATTCTAATTAATCCAATTGCACCACAATTATTCAAATACCATTTGTATTTCTTTAAAAAATCAAAGTAATGCAGGAATTAGAGCAAAGTTATCAACAAAAAACAATTCCTGGGACAGAGACATGGGAATGTAGTAGAAAGAGCATCAAGTTGAGAGCCAAGAAACTAGTTTTACTTATTTTATTTTATTTTATTTATTGTTGACACTATTACAGATATCCCTATCCCCCCTTTACCCACTTCCACCCAGCTCAAGACTCCCTGCCCGCTCTGGCCATCACTACACTGTTGTTTATATCCATGGGCTATGTATATATATGTTCTTTGACTAATCCCTTCACCTCAAGAAATTAGTTTTAGATGAATGCTCACCTATAAGATTTGAAGCTTCTAGCTCCACCATTCTAGCTCCATCCATCCACAAATAAAATTCCTTCACTCCTACAAATGTTGCCAAATTCAGCTAATTCGTGAGGTAGCCCTTTATTCTCCAGGTATTATAGGTCCTTGAAAATAAAAAGAGAATACGCACACATGTTGTATATATACATACATGCAAATTTTTCTTCTTAATCATTCTTTATTAGTATTTTCAGTTCTTCAGATCACCTGGATAGTCATCTTTTTTCAATCCTCTCTTTGAGTGAGCATTGATAAATGCTCATTAAAATAGTTCCTATAGTTTGGACACTTTGAGCCCCACTTTATTTCAAGAGTCAGAAACTGTTGTGCCTGTGTGAATGTCAAATTTCTGAATCCATTTCTGAATGAATAAAACAACTTCCTAATGTGAATTTTCCAGGAGAAAACATTATCAACATCAAAAAGTACCACCTAATCTCAAGAATGAAAGAGTAAAAACAACTCAGAAGTAAAAAACATATAGATATGAAGATAAATGATTTCTATTGAATAAATATCATTAAATTAAGAGATAGTAGGATGTAGTCAATTCACCAATGTACTGATTTTTTTCTTCAGACAGTTTGTTTGTAATATTATTTTGTTTGACATCTGACGTACTTAATACCGAATTCTAGAAACAATGAAAAAGTAATTCATCACACCAGGAATAGAAAAATTATTGAGAAGCAAAAATTAGGTCTCATGAGTAAAAAAAAAAAAAAAAAGATTATTTAGGCACTTTGGGCCGTGATTCCTTTTTGTTTTTTATCCAGTTAATCCTTGACTAGATTTCACAGCCTTTATCTGTTTTAATTTATATTTTATTTTAATTTATATTTTAATTTTTTAATTAAATCTTTATTGTTGAAAGTATTACATATGTCCCCTTTTGCACCCATTAACTCCTTCCAGCCTGCCCCCAAGCCCCATCCCAGGCTATCACTACTCTATTGTCTGTGTCCATGTCCATGTGTATATTTTTTAAAAAATATATATTTCTTTATTGATTTCAGAGAGGAAAGGAGAAGGAGAGAGGTAGAAACATCAATGATGAGAGAGAATCATTGATTGGCTGCCTCGTGCACACCCCCTACTGGGGAACAAGCCCGCAGCCCAGGCATGTGCCCTTGGCCGGAATCGAACCTGGTACCCTTCAGTCCGTAGGCTGACTCTATCCACTGAGCCAAGCCGGCTAGGACTGTATATTTTAATTGAAAGCTCATAGTACTTGTAGAGAACTGAGTCTTAGATGTGCTCCATGACAGGTGCGACACACACACACACACACACACACACTCCAATCATTTTAAAGACTGTTTCACCATTGCTATTTAAGAGATAGGTTCATCACCATCACTGTCATCATTATGGCAGAAACTTCCTTTGCTGGTCATCACCTTCTAGATCTCAAACTATCAACTCTCAGGAGGCCTAGTGAGAAGGGGGAGGAAGCACTGTACAGAGAGGAGGGTGACCTTGACTGGTGACAGAGCTGTGAAGGGAAGTGAGAAGTGCCTATGTGGTTCCTCTATCAGGACAGCAGAAGGGAGGGAGGAGTTGGAAAGAGGCAGGCTTCACTCACCTCCTGTGTTTTTGTTCTGAGCAAAATGTTGGTGTAGAGGCAACCAGCCCCCTCCATGCCCAAACACACACACTGAAACCTCCAGGCTTTAGTAAAAGTGCTGGCTTGTTGAAAACTGGGAGGAGGTGGGTAAGAAACCTAAGGAATGATTAACAGAGGGAGGGAGTGGTCGCTGAAATTGTCAGAAGATGCTAGTAACACATACAGCTGTGCGACTTTGGAATGAAAGTTTTCCCCTTGTTTTGGCAGGTGGTCTGATCATCCTGAATATCCATTCCATGAAGAATACTGACCTCAGATAGCTCCTGCACTTATTTTTCCCTGCGTGTGTACCATGACCTTTGGCTGGGTGATTCCCCCACACGTGGAAGTGAAAAGGGTTTTACTATCCTCAGATGAAGTGGCAATGGGCTTAACTTCTGTATAAGAGAAGTGACTCTGACTCAGCTATGTTGAAGAAAAAAATGTTTAAATCTGTTGAAATAATAGTTTGGAATTAAATAATTAAGTTGTCAGCAAAGCCATAATGATTTGGTTGTTGTGTATTTCCATCATTTTTTATTCATTTTACCCAGCTCTAGGGATAACTGCTAGTTTTCTCTTGCATGCTTTAAAGGGCCTCAGCTTCCACATAACTGGTGATCTACACTTACTGTCTATCACTCTTTTTCCCATGTATCATACAACCACCATTATGCAAAATGGCTTGAGACTATCAACATACACAAATAAAACCCTGTATTATTAGATGGTCCAAAGATAACAATTTTAAAAGAAGGCATTTGAAAAGCAGGCTTTCAGAGTATTGAAAAAAGCATTCTAAAATTATTATACAAAAGACTTATATAATGTCATTGGGATAATTATATAAATTTCAACATAGCAAGTTCCAAAGATCACTGGTAATTTTACTCTAAGTTTTTGTAATTGAATAAGAAGATTATTAGAATTCTGCAATAGAAATATATCTATTTTCAATTCAGCTAAAGCAATATATTTTATTCATTCACATTAGGTCACTTTCACATAGCAAGAGAGGTCTTTAAAAAGTATTTGTCCAAACCAATTGCTTATAGATAATCATCAATGACCTGAAAATATACACTTCTGAGAAATTATCCTTTTTCAAAAAATTGATCTTTACTCATTATTGCCGCTGTTTCCAATATTAATACTTCTAATGCTGTGCATTAGAAAATATTTTGTTCACAAAAATTAATTAACTATGATGATTTGTTCCACCACATGGATGTCCATTTTGTTATGGAGGTAGGGAGCTAATCATATGAATTCAATTCAATTGAAAAACCATGATCAAGTTCCTATTGCACATTTAGCACTGGGAGGAGAGGGAATAAAAAGGAGAATAGAAATGAAAATAAAAGAACAGAAATTTGAATCCTGATCTCTAATGTCAAATCACTTCAAAGTATTTTGAGGGGTCTGGGGTAAGGAAGGGACTACACATATCATATCATTTTTTAACATTGATTTCTAGAGAGGAAGGGAGAGGGGGGAGAGAGAGAGAGAGAGAAAGAGAGAGAGAAACATCAATGTGAGAATGAAACATCGATCAGCTGCCTCCTACATGCACCCTAATTTGGGATAGAGCCCGCAACCCAAGCATGTGCCCCAACAGAGAATCAAACGACGACCTCTTGTTCAAGGGACGAAGCTCAACCAACTGAGCCACACTAGCCAGGGCTCAAACCATTTTTTAAAAACAGGCATTGGAAAAAGATCCCCACTATTACTCAGGGAAAAAATATAAATTCCTGAAGATTGGAAGTGGAGGATCCTCAGTCATAACAGATCCTGGGGACAGAAAACAGGAAAGTCAGGAAAGACTAAAGATCTGATATGAGCTTCTGTGTGTCACTTCTCCCTCCACTCTCACTCTTCTCAAGCTTCCCATTTATTTGGGGGTGAATTGCATCCCTAAAAGTTATATGTTGAAGTCCTAGCTCCTAGCACCTCAGAATGTGACCTTATTTCAAAATAAGGTCACTTCAAAATAAGTGACCTTCAAAATAAGTAACCTTCAAAATAAGGTCACTGCAGATGTAAATAGTTATGATGAGGTTGTTAGGGTGGACCTTACTCCAATATGGGACTGGTATCCTTATAAAAAGGGGAAATCTAGAAACAGATACTCAAACAGGAAGAATGCCATGTGCAGATAAAGGCAGAGATCTGGGTGATGCTTTTACAATAAAGGAACCTCAGAGATTTACAGCAACCTACAAGAAACTCAGTAAGAGGCATGGACCAGATTCTCCCTCAAAACCCTTAGAAAGAACCAACTTTGCTGGACGTCTGGCCTCCAGAACTGTGAGATAATAAATTTTTGTTATGTATGGCTCAGTTGAGCATCATCCTGTGCACCAAAAGGTTGCTGGTTCAATTCCTGGCTGATGTGGCTCAGTTGGTTGAGCATCATCCAGTGCACCAGAAGATTGCCGGTTTGATTCCTGGTCAGGACACATGGCCAGGTTTGCCTCCCCCGCACCTCCCCCATTTATCTCTAAAAAAATCAATAAAACATTTTAAAATAAATAAATTTCTGTTGTGTATGTCTCCTGGTTTGTGGCACTTTATTACAGCAGCCCTAGAAAACGAACACACCATCCCTCTGTCATGATTTCCAGCCTCTCCAACTGAACTCAACGATAAAAATTACCTGATTTAGTCAAAGCTTTGCTGAGCTCAGGCATTGCTGACCAATACCTTTGACCCTCCTGGGGACTTCTGTAATCCCAGAGATGTTTATTAACTCAAAGCAAACTCCAGTCTAATATGAGGCCTCTGACGTGCTGTGGAGTAAGATATGTCAACAGTGACATTAGCTGCGAGGAAAAGGAGAAGAGGCCAAAAGCATATGGTGCTCACTGATCCAGAAAATCACAGGGACATGAGCAGCAAAGGACTTCTGCTCCAGCCCACAGAATGTTTCTTGATTTGCCTAGTCCTGGCTATTCTCCTAGGGGACCTCGCTTGGGCACTGTCTTCCATAGGCAATGACACTGAGGGCAGTGGGAGGGGCCATGAGAGGGACATGGACAAAGATCCCATGCCTGCAGCCTTCAACACTGTGAGATGTGCACACTTTATGACCACACTTCTGGGAATGAATGAAGGATGAGCAAAATCATTTCTCAGGGTTGGTATTTCTCTGGAAGTCCCTAGCAATTTCAGGCTCCTGCTGGGGCTTCAATTTCTGATAGTTGTAGACTAGTAACTAAATCTGGATGCCTTGTGGAGCCCTGGCCTTGAATGTGAACTCTCCCTGGATCTGAACTGTAGACTTCACATTTCTACCTCCATGTACCAAATCCCCAAGTTCTCACTTCTCTTGGTTGAGGCATGGGGTTGGGGGGAATAATCACTTTTATCATAACCTCCTCCTGGGCACTGGGGTTTTAACCAGCTTGAGAGCTGAGATGCAGAGTATGGTGGCAGGGAATAGCAAATACATGGACTATGTAGGGTCAATCTAGCTATTGGCAAATCTTCATTCCTCGCTATGTGGGATCTTTAGGAGCATGTGGGCGTAGTCAGGAAGAGATAAAGTTGCCAGAAGACTGGGGGCTGGGCAGACTTCCCTTTAAGACCTGCTGAGGGCCACATAGAGGTCAGGGAGGAACAGCCTTACCAGGAGCACACAGAAATAACTGCACATATTTTTTAACTGTGCTGCTATTTGAAAATGCTCTGCTGAGCATTTTTGTATTAATATTTATATATAAAACTATTCTGTAGTTTTCTTCATGATCAAATTGTGCTCATTCCATTTTTAAAAAGAGAGAGCAAGATTCTCTTTTGCTCTCTCTACTTTAGAACAAATTAAATTTAAATTATTTGTTCTTTAAAGTGTTGATGGAATTTACCTGAGAATTCCACTTCTGTCCATGGGGAGCTTGTACACTTTCTGTCTCATCTAGGATCAATTTTTCAAATTTATCTTATTGAAATGTATCAATATCATATAGTTTAGGAAATGTAAATATATTTGTTCATTTAGTCAACAAGTTTTTTTTGTGTGCCACTCTGCTAGGCTCTATCCTAGGCAGCTGGGCTATATCAGTAAACAAAAGTCTCTAAGCTGTCCTATATGCTTGTACTTTTGTGATTACTTTAATTTTCCTAAATCTGTGGTTATTTCCCCCTTTTCATTCCTATTTTGTATGCCTATTTGTTGTTTTTCCTGTTAATTAATTAGTGGTTTAGTAAGTCATTTTTGCTTGTTTCTGGATTTCACTTACAACAAATTTCCCAAGCGGGGAGGGAATCATTGATTAATTCTACTGTTTTTCTGCTTCCTAATTCATTAATATCTTGTTTTATTTTACTTATTTCTTGTCTACTTTTCTTAGTTTTTCTATAGACTTCTAACTTTAGTTTGAATGTCTATCCCACTGATTTTTGTTTGTTTGCTTTGTTTTTTCTTAAGAATATTATACCTTGATTATAATAAATTTTCTTCTGAGCACTGTTTTACAAACAAATTTTGTTATTTTCTAGACATTCTCAATTTTGGTTTTGCTTTCTTCTTTGATTAATACTTATTTACAAGAGTTGCTGTCTTATTTTAATTTCTAGTGTTAGAGCTTTTTTCCCCCCTAGCTTTTATATTCTACTTTTAACCATGCGGAACTCAGATAGCATCAATGTTTTTAGTATTTCCTGGGATTGTGACAAGACACATTTTACTTTAAAGTACTGAGTTGGATATGATGGACTTACAATTCTATGTTATAAACTTTTATCACCTAATATTAGAACAGCCTTTTTGAGTGAGTGGTTCAATATTTAAACAGTGGTTCTTAACTGGGGCCATTTTGTCCCACCCTCCCCTGGGGTACATTTGGCGATGTCTGGAGATGTTTTTGGTTGTCATAACTAGTGGGAGGTGGGGGAGGTCATACTGACACTTAGGTAGGCCAGGAACTGTCCAGAAGATGTCTGGTCCAATTAGCATATTACCCTTTTAGTAGTATATAAACATCCTACATAGGACAGTTCCCACAACAAAGAGCTATCTTCTGGACCAAAGTGTCAATAAACCCTGCTAACACAAGCCTTTCTTTTTTGAGAAAGAGAGAGAGAGAGTGCACGCGCGAGAGATAGATATGGATGTGAGAGAGAAACATGGATGTGAGAGAGAAACATCTATCAGTTGCTTCCCACATGCATCCTGACCAGGGATGGAATCTGCAATCTGGATATGTGCCCTGACCAGGAGTACAACCAAGACCCTTCAGTACATGGAACAATACTCCAATCAAGCCACACCAGGCAGGGCAAGTCTTTCTTGAATAAATTAAAATGTGCTTATTCCTAATGTCATAATCTTGTTGCATTTAATGGAAAACTAACCCATTTAGGCTCCTTTTTAGAAGACTTAAAGTGCCCAGCTGGAGTAGCTCAGTGGTTGAGCATCAACCTATGAACCAGGAGGTCACGTTTCTATTATCAGAAGGGAGGCTAAATTACCTGTCAATTGATCTGTCTACTGAGACCGTGTCAATTCTCTTCAAAAAGG